TTCTTTAAAATGAGATATTATAGATACCTCGTTAATCCTGTCTTCTATTATCATAGGTGATATTCAACACTTAGAAGTAAACCAAGTACCTGGTATTATGGGAAGATGTGTACCTCTTTCTTCACCAAATCAGCCAGAAACCTTACGAGAAAGTAAAAACATGTACTTAGTCCCTCCCCTTTTTATGTTAAATAGAGTTTCTCATTAACACTGAAAGTATATGGCTGGTATGGGAGGAACAATGAGAGGACTCTGCTAACCCATAAACTGGGTGTTAAACAGACCTGGGGAGATGTCCTGTTGGCCATATAGGTCAATGATATATTCAGCCTGGCCCCATAGCTGTATTCTCTGTTTTGACACTTACTTTTTAGCTCTCATGGGTATTTTCTAACCGAAATTATTGTAAGTCACCTTTCTTCATTTTGCTAGTGCTTTATCTTCTGGTATTTAAACTGTCAGAGGGAGGGGCGCCTGGGTGGCTCAGTTGTTAAGCATCTGCCTTCGGCACTGATCATGATCCCAGGGTTCTGGGATCGAGCCCCACATCAGGCTCCCTACTCAGAGGGAAGCCTGCTTCTCTCTCTCTTGCTGTCTCTCTCTCTGTCAAATAAATAAGATCTTTAAAAAAAAAAAAAAAAAAACTGTCAGAGGGAATAGGATGCATGCAGTTTCTGTTTTAAAGTCATAGGCAGCAAACACCCTGAGTGAATACCCAGAAGAACTGGTTAAGAAGTCATTGAAGGATCAAAACAGATCTCTTCGTTTAGGTGCATGAAGATTATAATCTTTGTATACTAGAGACCGTATAATTATAAAATGATTCCTTTTTGGCTTTTATATGCAGTAATACTCAATTATAACATTTAAATTGTGGATATTGGCCCATTGTTAGGCGGCCAATTTTTTTTGTTTTTCGTTTTTTCTCTTCTGTGTCTATCTTTATTTGCACTTCTGAAAAGTAATAGTGTCATTCTCACTACACCAATATAGAATGCTACCTCAGAAGTGGTTGGTCTTTTTTTTAATGTGTATCACTTTTATTTATTTATTTATTTTTCCAAGTTTTATTTATTTATTTAAAGATTTTATTTATTTATTTGACAGAGAGACACGGTGAAGTGAGAGAGGGAACACAAGCAGGGGGAGTGGGAGAGGGAGAAGCAGGCTTCCCACCGAGCAGGAAGCCCGATGCGGGGCTCCATCCCAGGACCCTGGGATCATGACCTGAGCCGAAGGCAGACGCTTAACGACTGAGCCACCCAGGCGCCCCTGTTTTTCCAAGTTTTAATTTAAATTTCAGTTGGTTAACATACAATGTAATATGAGTTTCAGTTGTAGAATTTAGTGAGTCAGCACTTCCATATCACACCCAGTGCTCATCACAAGTGCCCTCCGTCATCCCCATCACCTATTCAACCCAAATCCCCTCCTCCCACATCTCCCCTCTGGTAACCATCAATTTGTTCTGAACAGTTAAGAGTCTGTTTCTTGGCTTTCCTCTCTCCCCCCACACCCCGTGCCCATGTTCCTTTGTTTCTTAAATTCCACATGAGTGAAATCATACAGTATTTGTCTTTCTCTGACTGACTGACTTTGCTTAGCATTCTCTAGCTCCACCCATGTCAAATGGCAAGACTTCATTCTTTTTTATGGCTGTGTAATATTCCTCTATACGTGTGTGTGTGTGTGTGTGTGTGTGTGTGTGTGTGTGTGTACATAGGGTAGTTCTATTTTTAACTTTTTTTTGAGGAACCTCCATACTGTTTCCAGAGTTGCTGCACCAGCTTGCATTCCCACCAGCAGTGTAAGAGGGTTCCCCTTTCTCCGCATCCTTGCCAACATTTGTTGTTTCCTGTGGTATTAATTTTAGCCATTCTGACTGGTGTGAGGTGATACCTCATTGTAGTTTTGATGTGTTTTCCTGATGATGAGTGATGTTAAGCATCTTTTCATGTGTCTGTTAGCCATCTGTATGTCTTCTCTAGAAAAATGTTTATTCGTGTCTTCTGCCCATTTCTTAACTGGATTATTTGTTTTTGGGGGTGTTGAGTTGGATAAGTTTTTTTTTTTTTTAAGATTTTATTTATTTACTTGAGAGAGAGTGCACGAGAGCACATACATGAATTGGGGGCAGAGGCAGAGGAAGAAGCAGACTCCTCACTGAGCAGGGAGGCTGATGTAGGGCTTGATCACAGGACTGAGATCATGACCTGAGCTGAAGGCAGACACGTAACTGACTGAGCCACCCAGGTGCCCCTGATAAGTTCTTTATAGGTTTTGGATACTAACCCTATATCAGATACATCACTTGCAAATATCTCCTCCCATGGAGGAGGCTACCTTTTAGTTTTGTTGATTGTTTCCTTTGCTGTGCAGAAGCTTTTTATTTTTATAAAGTCCCAATAGTTTATTTTTGCTTTTGCTTCTGTTGCCTCAGGAGACATATCTAGTAAAAAGTTGCTCTGGCCAGTGTCAACGAGGTTGCTGCCTGTGTTCTCCTCTGGGATTTTGATGGTTTCCTGTCTCAAATTTAGGTCTTTCATCCATTTTGGATTTATTTTTGTGTATAATGTAAGAAAGTGGTCTGGTTTCGTTCTTCTGCATGTGGCTTTCCAGTTTTCCCAGCACCATTTGTTGAAGAGACTGTCTTTTTTCCATTGGATATTCTTTCCTGCTTTGTTGAAGATTAGTTGGCCATATGGTTGTGGGTCCATTTTGGGTTTTCTATTCTGTTTCATTGATCTATGTGTCTATTTTTGTGCTAGTACCATACTGTTTTGATGATTACAGCTTTGTAATAGAGCTTGAAGTCCAGAATTGTGAGGCCTCCAGCTTTGCTTATCATTTTCAAGATTGCTTGGGCTATATGGGGTCTTTTGTGTTTCCATACATTTTAGGATTGTTCTAGCTCTGAAAAATGCTGTTGGTATTTTGATAGATACCATTAAATGTGTAGATTGCTTTGGGTAGTATAGACATTTTAACAGTATTTGTTCTTCCAATCCATGAGAGTGGAAGTGGGGAAAATTTTTAGAACTTTGTGACTATATCTAATTTGAAAGCATTCTAAATCATAGCACTTAATGGCCTAGTTTCACTCTCTAAACAAGAAACACACTCACCTGCTATATGTATATATTATACATATTTATGTTTAAACTAATAATATTAGGAAATCTTCTAATGAGATTTTAGATTTAAAAATGTCTCAGATTAAAGACAAGCTACTCAATGGGAGAAGTATTTGCAAATGACATCTCTGATAAAGGGTTAGTATCCAAAATATATAAGGAACTGATACAGCTCAACACCCAAAAAACAAATAATCCAATTAAAAAATGGGCAGAAGACATGAGCAGGCATTTCTCCAAAGAAGACATATGGATGGCCAGCAGACACATGAAGAGATGTTCAACATCACTCATCGTCATTCAAATCAAAACTACAGTCAAATCTTTGAACGACATTCAAATCAAAACTACAATGAGATAGCACCTCACACCTGTCAGAATAGCTAAAACCAAAAATGCAAGAAACGACGGGGGTATTGGCGAGAATGCAGAGAAATAAGAACCCTCGTGCATTGTTGGTGGGAGTGCAAATTGATGCAGCCACTGTGGAAAACAGTATAGCGGTTCCTCAGAAAGTTAAAAATAGAACTGCCCTACGATCCAGGAATCGCATTACTGGGTATTTAGTCAAAAAATACAAATACATTAATTTAAAGAGATACATGCACCTCTATGTTTATTGCAGCATTATTTACAATATGAAAATTGTAAGCAGCCAGTGAATGAAAGCCAAATATGAGAGCAGCCTGAGTGTCCATTGATAGATAAATGGATAAAGAAGAAGTGGTGTATATATATACAATGGAATATTATGTAGCCATAAAAAGAAATGAAATCTTGCCTTTGGGAACAACATGGAACGAGCTAGAGGGTATAATGCTAAATGAAATAAGTCAGTCAGAGAAAGACAAATATATTTCACTCATATATGGAATTTAAGAAACAAAACAAATGAGCAAAGTTAAAAAAAAAAAAAGAAAAAGACAAACCAAGAAACAGACTCTTAACTATAGAGAACAAACTGATGGTTACCGGAGGGGAGAGGGGTGGGGGGATGGGGGAAATAGGTGAAGGGAATTAAGAGTACACTTATCATGATGAGCACTGAGTAATGTATGAAATTGTTGAACCACTATATTGTACACCTGAAACTCATGTAACACTGTATGTTAACTATACTGGAATTTAAAAAAAATTTTTAAAGTCTCAGATTAAAATACCTCCCTTCTGAAAGACTAGCTGCATGAGTAACCCTTCCTCAACCCTTTTTACCCTCACCACCCCTCCCTCCACCCCAAGAAAAGGAAAGCTGTGTTAGGACTTGTACATGTGAGTATAAATTACTATCACACCAAATGGCAGCATGTGTGAATGTTAATGGCACTTTAGTTAATTTGTAGGATTGCTGCTTATATGACTTTTAAGTATAGGCTGTTCAGAGAAAGATTAAATTTTGTCCTCAGATAAACCTGATATAAATAGTGACTATTTTATTCCGAAATCAGCTGAGAACATAATACTGTTATTTTTAAAGGTTTAAACTTTGATATTTGTTCGCAAAGAGCCTTCTGTAAAGATCTAAAAACACAGGCGCCTGGGTGGCTCAGTTGGTTAAGCGACTGCCTTCGGCTCAGGTCATGATCCTGGAGTCCCGGGATCGAGTCCCGCATCGGGCTCCCTGCTCAGCGGGGGGGTCTGCTTCTCCCTCTGACCCTCTTCCCTCTCATGTGCTTGCTCTCTCTCATTCTCTCTCTCTCAAATAAATAAATAAAATCTTTAAAAAAAAAAAAGATCTAAAAACACTTTTGGGAGTGGTAGTTTGCTGAAGATGGTATGTGATCACAGGTGTTAACTTAGGCGGTAGTTGACTTGTTCCTGGAACATGTTGTCTGTGATTTCAGTCCTTTCCCCTTACCTTGATTACAGAGAGGTACAGAAAGCAGTCAACACTGCCCAGGGATTATTTCAGAGATGGACAGAGCTCCTCCAGGACCCTTCCACAGCAACGAGGGAAGAAATCGACTGGACCACCAATGAGCTGAGAAACAACCTCCGGAGCATAGAGTGGGATCTCGAGGACCTTGACGAGACCATCAATATCCTTTTCTATGGTGCCTATGCCTTTGGGGTCGACAGAAAAGTGAACACGTTTTTATCCTCATTTCTCAAGTTCGTTGATAAGATATTTCCTTTTATAATGATTGATACTGCTTATATTTGTACCATGACACACTTGAAATACTTGCCCAGTAAGCCAAGGGGCAGGGGCCACCTTCTTCTACGGTGCATGATAAATCCGGCAACACGGAGACAATGTGGTGCAGTGGTTATAAGCTCGGACCCTGGAGGCAGACTGTGTGTTCAAGTCCTGGCTACACCAGTTACTAACTTTGTGACTTTGGGCACCTTGCTCTCTGCTTCAGTTTCCTCTTCTGTAGAAAGTTAGGATAACAGTAGTTACTGTCTCATAGGGTTGTGGAAAGTTGAACAGGTAAGTGTGGGGCCTGACACGCAGTGAGCTGCTGTGTTAGTCACTATTCCGTAGAGGTGTATACAGACCAGTGTCCTACATTGTTAATTAGAAATCAAAAGAAAATCCTTTTGTGGACTGTCTTTTTTCTGTTCAAGAAGTGATGTGTTACAACGCCAGTGTCCATCAGAGAGCATTTTGTACCATGAAACTGCATTTAGTAAAAGCAGATCTGTTCTGTTAAGTCATGCTGTTGAGGGGAGGTACACTGACCTGACTGGCGAACCAGAGAATGATGGCCTTTTTTCAGCTGGAAAAATTCCAGTTAATCAAAAATTTTGAAGATATGCCAGTTGCACGTTCTCAGTTCTCTCTCGTTCTCTCTGTAAGTGTGATCTAGGAAACCAGCTTTTCAGGTTCATATGCAGTTAATAAGTGGAGGGCATAATCTATTTATAATATTTCTATTCATCATATGACCCTGGGTACCTTTTAAATTATTTTAAAAAGTATATTGTTAAAAATTAGTGGAACAAAATATGTGAGAAGGTGGGATCAAAAACACAGGTACAGGGAGATATCTTGAGATAGAGGGAAGAGAAGAAGATTGGGGAGACAGAAATTGTGAGAGAAGGAGGACAGAAGTGTTAACAGATACACACACACCTTGGAGATACTGTGGTTCGGTTCCAGACCACCACAGTAAGGGGAGTATCGTGGTCTCAGTAAAGCAACTCAAGTGAATTTTTAGGGTATCCTGGTGCATATAAAAGTTATATCTACACTATACAGTAGTCTGTTAAGTGTGCAGTAGTGTTTTGTCTAAAAACAATGTATATACCTTAATTTAAAAATACTTTATTGCTGGGACACCTGGCTGGCTCAGTCAGTAGAGCGTGTTACTCTTGATCTCAGGGTTGCAAGTTCAAGCCCCACGTTGGGTGTAGAGATTACTTAAAAATAAAATCTTTAAAAAAAATACTTTATTTTTTTTTTAAGATTTTATTTGACAGAGAGAGAGACAGGAAGAGCAGGAACACAAGCAGGGGGAGTGGGAGAGGGAGAAGCAGGCTTCCCGCTGAGCAGGGAGCCCGATGCGGGGCTCGATCCCAGGACGCTGGGACCATGACCTGAGCTGAAGGCAGACGTTTAATGTCTGAGCCACCCAGGCGCCCCTAAAAAAATACTTTATTCCTAAAAAAGTCTAGTCATCATCTCAGCTTCCAGCGAGTCACAATCATAGATCACCATAACAAATATAATAATGAAAAAGCTTGAAATTTTTTTTTTTTTAAAGATTTTATTTATTTGACAGAGAGAGAGACAGGAAGAGCAGGAACACAAGCAGGGGGAGTGGGAGAGGGAGAAGCAGGCTTCCCGCTGAGCAGGGAGCCCGATGCGGGGCTCGATCCCAGGACGCTGGGACCATGACCTGAGCTGAAGGCAGTCGCTTAACCGACTGAGCCACCCAGGCGCCCAAAGCTTGAAATATTTTAAGAATTACCAAAATGTGACAGAGACATGAAGTGAGCAGGTGCTATTGGAAAAATGGTGCCCATAGACTTGCTCGACACAGGGTTGTCAGAAGCCTTCAACTTGTAAAACACAATGTCTGCTAAATGCAGTAAAACAAAGCACAATAAAACGAGGTATGGCTTTGTATTCATCATTCATTCAGCAAATAATCATTGAGTGTACCATGTGCTGGATATTTTGTTAGTTACTGAGATTGGATTGATAAAGCAAAACAGTATACCAGCCCTCATGGAATTTATGGTGGGGAGTAGTGAGGGGCTCAGGGGACAGGGGAACAGACATTAATCAAATAACACTATGTATTTGCAGACTGTGAGAGAAAAGACCAGAGAGCCATGCGAGTGTCTGACATGGGGCAGCAGGACCAGGCTGGGAATAAGGAGATTAGGGAAAACTTCAAAGAAGCCTCAACCTCTAGATTAATAAGCAGGATTAGCTTCTTGACATAAATGGAATGGTTTGGAACAGCAGATGAAAAAGGCTTGCAAAGCTGTCATGGGAAAGATGATCTGAAGTCAGAAAAGAGTAAACCAAGAGTGCTGGCAGGCATCTGGAAGAGCCCAGCTCAGCCGTGGTCAGCCTGCCATGCATGGACTTGTAGTGAACCCAGTCAGCAGGGGCTGTGTTTCTTAACCTAGTGGGTCTTCTCCACTCGGAGGCACAGAGATCCTCATAGCTGTGGGAAGAGAAAGTTTGAGAATGATGTGTGTCAAGTTGACAGTGTTTTAAGAAACATCGAGCCAGATCTTACTGCTTACCTGTGAGAGATTTTGTGGTTTAACATGATGATGTTTGTTAGGTTTTTAATGATGAAATTGCTTTCCCTTGACTTTTTGACCCACGCATAGTTGAAGCAAACCCTAGAAAATTCAACCTCGATGCAACTGAATTGAGTATAAGAAAAACCTTCATCACAAGTACTCGGCAAGTTGTCAGGGTAAGGAATATGGTCTTATTGTGTTATTTGTGCAAAAAATAACCACACTTCTCAGAACTTTTTTTTTTAATTGTAAACTAATAGGTCAACTCTGAAACCACTTTTTAGTATGAATTAAGTGCCAGTTTTCTTCCTAATTTCTCTGATTCAAATAAAGAAATCTGTTTGTAGTATTGTCTAGCTTATTTCTTGGAGCAAAAATGAGAGTAGATGACCGGCTTTGGGGAGGTTACTTGTCCATAGCTTTTGTTTCTCCAAACCAGTTATCTTTTTGCCTCTTTATTTCTCGGTATACTGTATTTTTGGACAAAAGGAAGAATTACTATTGTAGAAACCATTTGGTTTCTTGATTGATTGGTAATCACTTTGCATTGTGAAGAGTGACTCTTACCAGGTTTGGATAGCGGCCTCTTCCACCATCTGAATTGCTTCTGGAACCTTTGCAACCCATGTTACTGACATTTCCATATACAACTGCTTGACAGCCTTTCGGGAGCTGTCCAGAGCAGCATCCATCAGAGTGCAAAACACCAATCCAAGTAAACAAATCTCTAGTCTCAAATTATATAGCTAATAACCTATTGTTTAAAAAAAAAAAAAAAACTAGCAGAAAATATCATTTAAGTCAAATCTTGTCTCCTTGAGATATGTTTGTATTTTGAAACTATATGGCTAAGCCATTTGATTAGCATAACTAGATGTAAGAGAACCAGCTGTCTTTAACATATGTACTAGAAAGCAGCTTCCTTGAATAAAGAAACTTGGGATCATACCAGCGCTAACATATGGCTTTTTAGGAGTCATCTCAGGCAGGAACCTTGGTATGTGTTTGCCAAAGACTTTATGTCATGTGATTTCCTTTTGAAATTATTTCAAATCGTAGGTTATCACTGAACTTTAATTCTTGTGTCGTCTTTTATTCATTAGTTGCCTTTCTATGTGTGTGTGTATAAATTATTGTTAAATAGGCCCATACTTTAATGGGCCAGTAACCTTTTGGGACCTAAGTACACCATCTATATGCACTGAGCATTTGTATTAGACACTCCTAATTTCTAGCCAGTTCAGAATGTTATTCTGACAAGAAAGCCCCTTATTCCAAGAAGGTAAGTCCCCAATTATTTATTTTATAAATATAGTTTGCTTTTTTATTTTTTGTAATAGATTTTCTGAAAGACACTGCTGTAGAGGCTGGTATTTAAATAGCACTGGCAGTGAAGCATAAATTCCTGAACTCAATCACTGTGTTTGTTCTTTTTGCAAGATAGTACTTGTAAATTTTGCAAATTGAAATTCAGAGGTAAATATATTGAAAGTTAAGTTAGTTGGTATAATTGCAAGTAGAAACCAAAGTTCATTTTCTAATACTTGAAGAGGTTTTTAAAGTACATTCTTTGAAGGAAGTATTCTTTTTTTTTTTTTTTTAGATTTTATTTATTTGAGAGAGAGTGAGAGAGAGAGAGCACAAGAGGAGGGTCAGAAGGAGAAGCAGACGCCCCACTGAGTGGGGGAGCCCGATGCAGGGCTCGATCTTGGGACTGTGGGATCATGACCTGAGCCCAACGCAGATGCTTAACCGACTGAGCCACCCAGGCGCACCTGAAAGAAGTATTCTAAATCAAGTCCATATTTCATATATAGTGTTGCAGTCCTTCTAGAGTTGAAGTCTAAAGCATACTCAACTGTATAATCCAACTGAGTATTGTAGAGTTTTTAATCATTCTTGTTTTAATTATGACCCCTTTTTCGGAAGCTGTTATTGTTTGCTAGTTGTAGGTTAGCAGTACATAACTGAGCTTTTGCTGATCTCATTTTGATAAATTCTAATTGAAGTCCTGTAAGAAGAGAAGGAGGTAGTAATGATGCCAACTTGATTTTTTTTTTAAAGCACCCTGTGTTGATTGACTATTATTGCATTCAGTTAAGCAGCATTTGTATACAGAGATCTCTGGGTTCTAGTTGGAGGAGATAGAGTAGGATCAGAGAGTTAGCCAATTTGGGAAATGAGACCTAAGACTACACTCTGATTTGGGATTTGTCTTTCACAAGCTCACGTAAACTCCCCTGTTAACCATTATCAATAGGTTTTCATTTAGTTGCTCTAAACACTACATTTGGATCCACAGCTGATGCCAGGGGTGCTTTCTCCTTCATAGGCAGGAGAATCAGTGATAAATTGTGCATTTGTGTGTCTGGTTGCTGTCTCTAAAGAATTACATCTTTCTCTTGTTTTTCTTTTCAATTAACGTCCATTGGTTTTGCTTTTAGAAGCCTTCCTTGTTTTCCCAAGTGTCTTTTAAGGTTGTACAGTTTAGTAAGTTTTGCTGGCGGTTTTTACTGAAGAAAGCAAAATATTCTTTTGTGTGTGTAAATAGCCTTTGATAATTTTGAAGTAATCATTTTTACATTTATGGAGTTATCTACACAACAGCGATTTTGCATGTGGAATTTTTCTGTTGTGGAAATATGTTCCAGGAGTGACCTCATTTTAATTTAGTAGCAAAAGGCTTTGCAGTGTGTGGCAGAGGAATACGGGGGGTGAGCTGTTAGGAGACCTGAGTTCTAGGCTCATCCGTGACCTTAATAAATTTTCATCATGGCAGGTCAGTTAGCTTCTTTCACTCTGTGTTTTCTTTATCAATTAAATGGTCCTCACAGACATTTTCTAACTTTAACTTTCAAAGGAATGAGAACTATACATCCCTGTGGGGGGAAGAAAAAAAAACCCCATCTTGTTCCAACCCAAGAGTTGTTCACATACCATTCTAAGTCAAGGCAGACATGGTTAACCAAAAAGGATGAGGTGTATAGGGTGTGAGACCTCTTAGTGCGAAGTACTGGGGGATGTATAGTGTCCCATTCACTCAGTTCGGAAGACACCATGAAATGGGAACAGGAGCGTAGATAACCAGGACATTTATTGCTCTTTTGGCAGACAAACCAAATTGTATTGGTACTGCTTCTTGACTGCTGGTTCTAAACTTCATGTGTTAGAAAGATGATTGATTATGTTTTTGGCCTGATGGGTTATTATAGAATGCTTAAAACTGTGTAGTGACTTAGCTTAAAATTCCAAATCCTAATAAGAAGGTAGTCTGTTGCATGGTATCTTACAGCTTTTAACGTCCATAGAAAAAATGCCATCCTGAAGTGAAAGCCTGGTGCTTTACCTGCTGCCATGGCCACACACAGGACGCACACCACACACAGGATGCACAGCACACAGCTGTTGGGGAAGTCATGGCCATCAGGGCTAACCGCCCCTCCCCCACACACATTTATTAAGCAGAAACTTTAAAAACTGGAACTTTTAAGATATCTATTTCATTAAAGTAATGCATGTTCATTAAAGAAAATTAGAAAAATGTTAATAAGAGGAAAAGCTAGAAAAAGAAACCTAAGCTCAAAATAATAAACACCAAACTTTGTTACATTTTCTCATTTTGTTAATGCATGACAGTTGTATTTTTACATAGTTGATCATACTGTTAAGCAGTCATAAGCATTTTTTATTTTTTTAAATTAAAGGTAATCCATACTTGCTGTTTTTAAAATGCAAGTAATTTTGCTGTATGAGAAAGGTGAAAATGCCTCCCGCCCATTCTATAATTCCACTCCCTAGAAATAATCACTATTAACAATTTTACATATTATCTCTAGCCATTATATGACCCTGAAATAGACTCTTAAAAGAAATGACATATTATTCTGGATTTACTCTAAGTTACTGTTCTCTGGTTTGGACCTGCTGCTTATTTCTGTTTTTCTTTCATATTATAAATAACACTGCAGTGTACATCTTTGCTTTTTTGGGGGGGGGGTATATATTTTACTTTTTTTCTTTTTAAGATTTTATTTTTAAGTAATCTTCACACGCAGTGTGGGGCTCTAACTCGCAACCCTGTGATCAGGAGTTGCATGCTCTACCAACTCAGCCAGCCGAGCACCACTTTTATATTGTTTTCTTAAAATAAATCCTGTTAGTGGAGTTGCTAGGTCAAGGCCGTGAATATTTGATACAAATATCACAGCTCTTGATACAAAATGTCAGGTTTTTTCAGAGTCCAGTTTACCTTCCAGCCATTGTTCCAGAACAGTAGGGTTTTGTGGTTTTTTTTTTACATTTTTATTGAAGTATAACAATAGAGAAAAGTACATATATCCCAAGTATACAGCATGAAGAGTTTATAAACTGATTCACCACCATGGAAACGGCAACCAGAAGCATTCCAGAGCATTCCCGGCACCCCCTAGAAGCTTCCTTGTGTCCCTTTTACAGTCTTTAATTCCCTGCTCATTGTCCTGACTTCTAACAGCAAAAACACATTCTATAGCTGAAGTTCAAAGTTTAATCGAACTTCAGTTACTTTTTCCATAGCCGTGTGTTGATATTTTCATTATGCAAGTAATGTTTATTGTTTTGAAAAATACTATTATAAAATGTATTAAATACCTTTTTTTTTTTTTTTAAAGATTTTATTTATTTATTT